CCTTGGCCGCCCTGAGGGCGGGTGGGAACGCGGTCGAAGACGCGTCTGCTATCACGCGGCATGGTGATCTACAGCTATATAAAGCCCGGTGGCACCACTGGCGATGCTGTATGACGGTTTATCGACTAGCACGAGTTTGCCTCTATCACAGCCTCTCCATTATCAGCCATCCTTGGTTAAACCAGCAGCTAGACCGACAGGCGCCCCCTACCCTCCCGATGGGCCGAAATCTCCGTAGCTTGCTTGACCTATACTCAGATAATTTAGTCGATAAATTAATGCTTTTTTAATAAAAGGGGGAAGGGTATACCATCTGTGTTTGAAGGAACTTAATTGTGCAGGGCATGCCTCAAAACCTGACTCTTTTTTCCTAACTATTTTAGCCTTTGTGGTCTCGATCCCAATGCCTATGAAGCGTTCCAGGCGTCACGAGACCTGGAGTTGGTGGTGAAAAAGCTGAGGGAAAGAGGTTTTTCCAACAGGGCGTCAACTTCTTCGTCAGACGCAAGGCCCAAGCTCTCTCGCAATTTGTCCATTTCTATCAAACTGTCCACCCCGGTGCTACCTATGCTCGCTGAACCCTGTCGTTCTGCGGAAATGGCCTTAGAAAAGGGTCACAAGGGAGGTGGCCTCCTTGTCGAAATCAAATACGACGGTGAACGTCTTCAGTTGCATAAGAAGGGAGCTCACTTTTCGTACTTCTCACGCAGCCTCAAGGCCGTTCCTGACCACAAGGTACACATCTTATGTGCTCGGAATCACCCAAAATGAAATATTTTCTTAAACTGAATGAGAAGTGGGCTGGAGTCTATTTTGCCCCGCTGTTGTTGCACCAAGAGCTGCTTGCTTGTCGTTAATTATCTCTCAACCGCCTTATGTTCCTATTATTGTAGGTTGAACATCTGAAGGAATTCATCCCGAAAGCCTTTCCGTCAGCCAACGATCTGATAATTGATTCCGAAGTACTCCTCCTAGATACCCAGACAAAGAGACCACTACCGTTCGGCACACTAGGTGTGCATAAAGTGAGTCACTATCGCATATTCATTGCCCACAATTTTTCCCTCGTAAACAGAGTTGCACTCGGTCCGAGTCTTCGCGCAGTTTTATCGGCTGATCTGCCCCACGGGCCTTATTAGCCTCCGAAATTTCGAAGTTTTCAACAGATGTTTCGTCCCGTCAGTTTGACATGCCTATTCTTTGCGGATTATTACTAGCTTATCGTTCGTCTTCGTCTTTCCGCCTCATGCGAATGTTTGAACCGGTTTTTAGTGCTACACACTGGTCCATAATAATGATCTTGAGCTAAGCGTATGCAGATATTCGTCTTTGCAGTACCACTCTTCAACATCGTCTTAAGGTGTGACAAACGAGGTACCTTCGACTGCGTCCGGAACCCCAAACCAGACTTGAATTACCTTTTCGAAATGCCCTGTAGTATGTTCTGTTTGTAAATGGCGTTCACATCCTCCAGTCATTTTCTCTGAGTACAAGTAGTAAGGGTGGCTGAGAATAGAAAAACTTTTGCTAAAAGGTTCCTGTGGGAAAATCACTTCAAGGGCGAAACGGTAGACATGCCGCTGGGTTTCTTGTGTTTCGTTAACGGTTTACAAATCTTGTTGTCCTCACTGTACAGTCAGGTTAGAACGCCTGTTTTCTTTTTTGCATTCCTAGCGAACTGCCTTCAAGGATGCTACTGTGTGCCTTTTCGTTTTCGACTGTCTTTACTTCAACGGAAGGAGTCTCCTTACCGAGTGAGTTTGCCGTCCGGTTTACCACTTTTTACGTATTATGCCAGTTTTGACTGCGACTAAGTGGTGAACAGTCAGCGCTAATGATGGCGTGGCTGTTTTCATGACTAAAAGTAAATAGAACTAATGCGCTCATTCCCAGCACCAGTTAACTGACCAACTCAGACAGTAGCCGGGGCCGGGGAATGGAAATAGAGTGTTAGGTCGACGACCGAGTGCATTTTCCCTCACTATAAACAATCTGACGCTCTTTAAGCTATTACGGTGCGCTAAACGTCGTGGCTTGGAAGTGTTGTAACGGTAGCCAAGGTCAAGATGTCACCGCCCAATTACGCCCTGCGTGAGTCCCCCAGGGGAAGAACACGACGAGAAGAGCGTAACAGCAGAAGTCTTTGAGTGTACTAGGTACAACATATTTAGGAAAACAAACGCGTGTAACATGATGTCCATCGAGCCAATCAGCTTCTCTCTCGG